CGAGTTGGCCAGCAGTCTTCTTCCACTTCAGTATGTGACCTACGGGGCGGCCCGCGGGGAATTGCAGGGCTCCTTGTGTGCCCTTTTACTAGTGTTGCTTTGCATTGTAGCTTTGCTTGCTGATCGTAGCGAATCATTCTTTTAGCCTTCTTGTGAATCATTGCGGATTCTTGCTGATCGTAGCGGAACCATGTTTGCCTTCTTGCGAATCATTGCGGATTCTTGCTCCCTCTCCTCCCTCCCTGCCTGGTGGTTTGGTAAGTATTTTCTCAGGTAGTTATTCTCTTGGGTAAGTATCTCCACTGAATTTATTCAGTGTGACGGTGCCGGTTAGTGGCTGCTCTTGGGGTGGTTCCTGCTTCCAGGGTTGCCATGGATACCTCCTCTCTGCTTATTGCATTTGGCCCCCCTACTAACCTTTAAGGCACCTGCTCCCAAGCTCATCATTAGTGATGAGTTTAACACTTGCTACATGTACACAAGGTTGTTCTAAGTACTTAAAACTTTACATATATATAGCCACTTACTTTGTTTCTCATGTATCTTCTCCTCCATTGCTCCACTTTGTCCAGACTGTCAGGATGCTGAAAGAAGAGTCAATCAATGTAGAAGGGGTTTGTTGCAAAGGAAACCATGGTTTTGCATCATTTGGGGAGGGGGGGGGGGGGTGGGGGGTGAAATTTAAAAACACTTGGTATTACCACCTGCTGGGAGTGAGTAGATACAGCTATGGTTAATTTAACACCATAAAAGATTTAAGAAGGCTGTCATTTCGAATGAAGCCATTTGTGACAAGCGGCTGACCAAGGGCTAGTCATCAAGTTTTTCTTTAGACATTAACTAAAGCAATATCTGTTAGCTTCCCATCCTGAATGCCCTAGACTATGAGTAGCCCTCATTTTCCCTCAGGGATAGTAGAGCAAGCGAAATGTGAGCGCATGTGAAAATCACCACAAGCAAGAAAGGCAAGATGCGGCGGGGAGAGAGAAAAAAATGAGGAACTACAGACAAAGCCCAAGCTTTTGACTTTATGCATTGCTCTCACAACACATAACTCTGACTGGCTCTTCCATGACAATTAACAAATCTGACCGCTCAAACAAGTGAATTTTTTTGAATGGAAAGTGTTACTCGTCTCTCTGAAAGGATGATCCATGCCATTCCATAGAAAATTGCTCAGATCTTTTGAAGGGATGCCATATTGTGGATGATCAAGCCATTTGAACGGCCTGAGGTCTTCAACGAACAGGTGACCAAGTGGTTCGAATGGTTTGATGTCTCTAGTGGACAGGTGACCAAGCCGTTCAGATGCCTGACAAACACCTTGTAAACGGAAAGCTGTTAGTGTACGTTTTCGTGTAGAAGGTCACAAATGGAAAGGCCCTTTGGATATAAACTGGCAAGACCCTTTATACATGCTTAAATTTCTTGAATCTCATTATATAATGAAATACATTATGCTTAAATTTTAAGCTTTTGAGTCAAAGTTATGTCTCCATCCCACGAGATGTGAAAACGCTGCCTTAAATTTCACGATTATTGATATAAATAAGGTCAAGCTTGTACAATTTCGGTAAGTATCTTCCCGAGTAATTTCATACACACAATACCAACCTGGAGCATATTTGCCACAGTCTTTGAAGCATTTTCATGAGCCTCAGCCTTCCACTTCTGAATATCTATAGACATATTTGGAGGAAGAAACAGCTTTACATATTTAGCTTTATAATTTATATTGACAAGGAAACTACCCAGTCGCCATTATTTGTTTTCCTTCCACCCTCTTGCTTGTAATGCATCACGGGACAGCAGATTCCAGGCTCCTGGCCAAGTGGCCAGCTGGGAGCCAACATGGCGGCTTGTGAGGATGGGTACCGTGCGAATGTGGTTTTTCATTGACCCAGCATTCGTCATTTTAAACTTTCATCAACAGAATACTTAAAAATTACTTTTAGAATTTGCTTATGGCAACGAAAGGAAGAACAGGGAGAAGACGAAAACGTAAGAAAAATGGCAATTATTACAACGA